ATAGCACCACATGGGTATTTTTGGAGATGATGAAAATACTCTATATTTTGACTGGGGTGGTGGTTAATGGATATACAGAATTGTCAAAACTCAATGAAATTGATTAAAAAGTCACTATGAGGGCACCTGGGTGGATCAAGACCAACTCTTGGTTTCAGCTCAAGTCATGATCTCATAGTCATCAGGCCCCACACTCAGCACAGAGTCTGCTTGAAATTCTTTCCCCCTCTCCCATACCCCTCCCCACCAAAATAAATAAATAAATATTCTTAAAAATCACTATGAAATAGTACTATAATAATTCCTCTTTTACCTGTAAGAAATTAAAGCACGGGTTAAAACACCCGTGTTACCGTTTTTATAGAAAAATTATTACCTCTAACGCAAAAAGTATGGGGAAATGCTTTGAGACTTTATATAAATGTATGATATTAGGTTTTGGTTCTCAGATAATCAATAAATTTTTATGGACTCATTGCTCCAAGAACACAGCAGCAACTTCAAGAATTGAATATTAAGGGGCACCTGGGTGGCTCAGTGGGTTAAGCCGCTGCCTTCGGCTCAGGTCATGATCTCAGGATCCTGGGATCGAGCCCCGCATCGGGCTCTCTGCTCAGCAGGGAGCCTGCTTCCTCCTCTCTCTCTGTCTGCCTCTCTGCCTGCTTGTGATCTCTCTCTGTCAGATAAATAAATAAAATCTTTAAAAAAAAAAAAAAAAAAGAATTGAATATTAAGGGACGCCTGGGTGGCTCAGTTGGTTGGACGATCGTTTTCGGCTCAGGTCATGATCCCGGAGTGCCGGGATCGAGTCCCGCATCGGGCTCCCAGCTCCACGGGGAGTCTGCTTCTCCCTCTGACCTTCTCCTCGCTCATGCTCTCTCTCACTGCCTCTCTCTCAAATAAATAAATAAAATATATTAAAAAAAAAAGAGAAGTTTCCTTTAAAAAAAAAAAAGAATTGAATATTAAGAGCAGCTATACAGAAAAAGAATTGTTTTGATTTTTTTTGCTTATATTCTTCCAAATAGGTAATTTTACATATAGAATTTTATTTTCCTAATAATTTATATTCATTGAAAGAATTCTGAATAATATTTACAGTATTGTTATATTCTATTTTTATCCAAATATATCATTTCTAGTGATGTAAAAGCTAAGGGCAGAATACGCAAATCAATTAAATCTAAAAGGATTTAAATTAAATTAAATCCAAAAGGATTTGAAGAAACAAATATTTTTCCTTCTCAAATACTTTCCTGCCTCAAAGAAAGAAAGAAAGAAAGAAAGAAAACCACAGCACTCAGAAACTAACTTATCCAAGAGCCAGGATTCAAACCCCAATAGTTTTACTCTAATGCCCACATTCTTAGACACTATATCACTCTGCCTCTATAAAAGTAGGATATACCTATAATCTCTTTTCTTCCAGATAATGTATATCTATTCATGAACATTTACTATTTTATAATTAGAAAAAATATATATACTTAAAAAGACAGAGACTATTCAGGACCTCTCTCCAAGATGACATTCAATCTACTAATCGGAACATGTTGGATAACTTTGTTGATCTTTATGAAGTCATTCAACTGTTTTAGCTTTCAGTTCACATTCTTTATCTTGTTCACAAATACAACATGTAAAACTGCATCAAGTCTTGCAGAAAGTAAGATATACTGTATCTACAGCATTTCTTTGATCTACCTAATGGATCTGTACGAAGGACATAAATTTGTCATAAATTCATGCTAGTTCCCAGAGACTACCACTTCCTCTTTTGTGTTCATACACTATCCTTTTAACAATCTGGGCTAGACCAGAAGCTACAGCAACCAACTCGCAGATTATCCAAAGATTACAAACAGAAGTTCAGCAATCACTTAAGTAAATTCTTCTACTGTGCTAAACTATAGATTATCACAGAAGGGAGAACCTAAACTCAATTAAAATTCTAAGGTCCTTTTATATAATTCCCTTATGTATTCTGCACTTCAGTTTCCTCCTACCAGTATTTGCTTGGCCTTCTCCAGAGTGGAAGTAATTCTTCTTGACCAAGAAGACAGAAATAAGAGAAGGTAACTAATTCTACTTTCTACAATCTGTTCATGTTTCCTTCTCTACCCAGCAGCAAGATTACACCTGCTCTAAACATAATGGAAGAGCCTTTCACTGGCATTTTCTGAAGGTCTCCAGTAACTCTGAGATTTCTAGTTTCTGAGTTTATTCTTGTGGGTTCTGTCACTCTTCATCCTTGGTTTTATATCCTGGTTTTTACCTTCAGTACTTCTAACTGGACAGCTACTTTTGCTGTCACAATGGCCTCTTCAGGCACTTCTTTCTTCCTCACTGGAGTCACTTATAATTGCATTGCCAAATTTGCATTACTTAGTATTTCCCATTTCTCTTGAGAATACATCCCAATTTCTCTAAAAACAGGTTATAACCTTGGCATGGGGCACCTGGGTGGTTCAGTCAGTTGGGCATCTGACTCTGATTTCAGTTCAGGTCACGATCTCAGGGTCCTGGGATGGTGCTCAATGGGGAGTTGGCTTGTGATTCTCCCTCTCCCTCTGCCCCTCCCCCTGGTTGCACACACACACTCTATCTCAAATTAATCTTAAAAAAAAAAAAAGCTATACCCTTGGCATAATTACCCTGACATTGCTTAAAATTTGTCTGAAATCCAGTTAAAAATTCCTTTCAGAAGTGACTTCCCTCCCAAAATCAGTTTTTTTTTTTTTAAGATTTTATTTACTTATTTGATAGAGAGAGATCACAAGTAGGCAGAGAGGCAGGCAGAGAGAGAGGAAGGGAAGCAGGCTTCCTGCCGAGCAGGGAGCCCGATGCAGGGCTCAATCCCAGGACCCTGAGATCACGACCCGAGCCGAAGGCAGCGGCTTAACCCACTGAGCCACCCAGGCGCCCCCCCCAAAATCAGTTTTATTACTGCGTAGTCACATCTCCTCTTGACTGAAATTGTAGTGCCCAATTTGATCACCTATCTCATTGTTTGTATAAGAGCTAACATTTCCTATGGATGTACTATATGACAAGCACTATATTAAAAGACTTCCTATATATTCTTAGATTTAATCCTTGTGAACCTAATGAGGAAATACTATCATTATCTAATTTTACTGGTAAGGTGGCAAAGATTTAAGTAACTTGACTAAAGCCACATAGTTACTAAATAAAAGAGCTACACTCTGAGCCCAAGTCTGTCTGAGTTAAAAAAACAAAACAAAACGAACCCCAAGTTTTTTCTACTATACCTCCTAGCCATTCACACGTAGGCTGACTTTGAAGAGGGTGGAGAGTGAGATGTCTCAGTTTAAGGTGGCTTATAAAATGCAATGATTTAAAAAAAATAAACGTATCAGATTTTGTAAATCATGTATCAGAACTATTTCAAATTAATTACCTTGAAAGCTTTAAAGTTTGGGAAGTTTTCTTACAGAACAGTTTCTACAACTTTTTACTAGTCTTTTTTTTTTTTTTAAGTATTTTATTGGGATGCCTGAGTGGCTCAGTGGGTTAAGCCACTGCCTTTGGCTCAGGTCACGATCCCAGGATCCTGGGATCGGGTCCTACATCGGGCTCCTTGCTTCGCAGGGAGCCTGCTTCTCTCTCTGCCTATGCCTGCCACTCTGCCTGCTTGTGCGCACTCTCTCTCTCTGACAAATAAATAAAATCTTTGAAAAAAAAAACTATTTTATTTATTTATTAGAGAGAGAGAGAGCAAGCTCACAAGGAGGGGAGAGGCAGGCAGAAGGAGAGATAGGCTCCCTGGCAAGCAAGGAGCCCCACGTGGGACTCATTTCCAGGACCCTGAAACCATGACCCGAGACGAAGGCAGACACCCGACAGACTTAGCCACCCAGGTGTTCCCACTAGTCTTTTAAATATCTTCAATACTGGTCAAATATTCATTTTTGAGAATCTTTTTTAAGAGGGTGCAAAGCAAGGCTTATTGAGTGATAGTAAAGTTTACTGAATGATAAAGAGTAAAAAGCTCCTAAAGAGAAAGGGGACCTGAGAGGGTTGCAAAGAATAATTTCTATTTTGGAAACAGCATGGTCATTTGGAACCAATTCTTATAAATCAGAAACAGTGATTTAGGGTGATATAATATCTTAGTACATGAGGGCATGGCTTTGGAGTATGACAGTCATAAATTTGAGTTAGAACCTTACCACCCTAACTTCTACTAAATTATTTAAATTCTCTGAACCCTACTTCTCTCATCTGAAAAGGAAAAAAGGGAATCACTTCTTGGCCTCCTGGCTAAGATGAAGTGAAAAGGAAGAAAGATATCATCTATCTCACAACCACTGTGAAGATTAAGTGAATCTGGCTGTATGTATGTTACATATATATACATAAAATACACATGCGAGGGTCTGGGTGGCTCAGTCGGTTAGGTGCCTGCCTCCAGCTCAGGTCATGATCCCGGGGTCCTGGGATCCAGTCCCATATCAGGCTCTCTGCTCAGGTGGGAGTTTGATTCTCCCTCTGCCCCTCCACCCTCCCCCACTCATGCTCATGTGTGCTCTCTCACTCACAAAAATAAATAAAATCCTAAAAAAAACCCACACATGCATGATAAATAATAAACATTTTTCTCCTCTTCTCTACTGTTATTTCATTTATGTATTTATTTGACAGAAGGAGAGAGTGTGCTTGCAAGCAGGGAGAATGGCAGGCAGAGGGAGAAGCAGACCACTGGCTGAGTAGGGGGCCAACACAGGAGTCCATCCCAGGACCTGGAGATCATGACCTGAGCCGTGGCAGATGCTTAACTACTGAGCCACCCAGGTGCCCCTCTACTGTTATTTTAATCATTATTTCAAACTGTGAACCACATATGATAAATCTGTCATTTATAACATTTGTAAGAAAGCAAGAGATTTTCGGTTTATCCATTCCCCAGCTATTGATTTTTTGCTCTAAATTATATGAAACAGTATTTTGACATTAGTGAACGTCAGTGGGCAACTTACCTGTGGAAACCATCTTTCAAAACTTCTTGCCTCAAAATAATTTCTGAACAAGTAGCCCTTATGCCTATAAGAATCAGAAGATTTCTTAAAATAAGCGGTCAGTGAAAGAACATTTAAATAATTAGAAAATAATTGCTTGAATAGGCTTTACTTGCCTGGAAAATCTAACCAACCTATAAACAAAAGAAAAACTTTTTAAGATTTAAAGAATTTGAGCTATCTAAAATGCTACTTCTAATATAGCAGAGGCATCTAGAACATTGACCTTGGAGTAATACTGCCTAATTATAACCCCAGTCTGTCCCTTAAAGCTATGTGACTTTGGACAAGATAGTTTATTTCTCTGCTATTTGTCATGAGTATTTAATACATGTAGAAGCACTTAGAACAGGGCTTACCAGATGGTAAGAGCTCTGTATAAGTGTTTGTCATTAACACTGTTTTTTCAGATGATCCCAGGACACCAAAAGGAACAGACTGGCTAAAGAGCCAGGAAATCTGTTTTAATCCTGATTCACTGAAACCCTATTTTAGATACCTACTGCCAACTTTTGTATCCTATCGTCCACACCTGTAAAACTGAGAAAATGGTACACTTACACCTTGTGGAGATGTTGGGAAGGTTTAAAACAGAGAAACAAAAACTTGAGGGTTTTCAAAGATTCAAAGGGTTCCTTTTAAACTTAGAATAACCCAAAATCTCACTGTAATGACACCATGCAGAATTCAGATGTTAAAACTATTATTCAAGGTCAGCATCATAAAATTAAAAATTCAGGGGCACCTGGGTGGCTCAGTCAAACGTCCAGTTCTTGATTTCAGCTTAGGTCATGATCTCAGGGTTGTGAGATCAGCCCTGAGACAGGGCCTGCGCTGGGTGTTGAGCCTGCTTAAGATTTTCTCCCAAATCCAAATAAATAAATAAATAAATAAATAATTCCATTACTAATGACCATCAACTGTTCCGGGTACCCTGCTATATGGAACATTAATTCATTTTCAAAAGCTGGAAGTGCACTAACATTAAAACAAACACAAAAGGGACGACTGGGTGGCTCAGTCGGTTAAGCTGCTGACTTCTGTTCAGGTCATGATCCCAGGGTTCTGGGATCAAGTCCCACATCGGGCTCCTTGCTCAGTGGGGAGCCTGCTTCTCTCTCTGCCTCTGCCTGCACTTTGCCTGCTTGTGCTCTCTCTGACAAATATTTTAGTATACGTGCTGCCGAAGCGAGCACTCTCTCTGACAAATAAATAAATAAAATCTTTAAAAAAACAAACAAAAAAAAAAACCCAAACACAAAAAAACCATATACTATTATGTATTGCTAAGTCTTTTAGATTCATTCCTGAAAAGACGCACACACACACACACTCACAAAGATATGAGAGCACCAAAATTTACAAGGGAAGGAAAAATAATATTTATTAAATGACATCCATGACAAATCCTCTACTTGGGGCTTTCACATATTTTAACTTTCACAACCCAGCAAAATAGGCGAAATTACTGCCATTTGCACACGGGAGGAAACTGATTAACAAACAGTTCTCACTGGCTCTAGGCCATACTACTAAGTTACTGATTAGAAGCAAGATCTCCTAGAGTTTTAAAGCCTAAGATATTTCCACTTTCCTAGCTATCTAAGAAAACCCTTATTTGCTTCAGAGAAGCATATATAATCATTTCCTAAAAATACCTTTGGGTATCTTTTTTACAAATCCAGATGTTCCACTATGTTTAATTTTAATAGGGATGGAGAGTCAGGATTTATATCTATCTAGAACTTAAATTAGAAAAAAAAAAGTCAGATTAATAGGCTTAAATTCTGTTGGGATATATACTGGAGAATACTAAACCCCTTTCATCTCGGGATGGTAGAAAGGTTAATTCACAAACAGTATAGCAAATAGATTATTCATAATTTTTTAAAGCAAAAATACCATTTTCTTTTTTTTGAAGATTTTTATTTATTTATTTACTTATTTATTTATTTGACAGAGAGAGACACAGCTAGAGAGAGAGGCAGGCCTCCTTTTTTTTTTTTTTTAAGATTTTTATTTATGTATTTACTTATTTGACAGAGACAATGCTAGACAGAGGGGCAGGCTCCTCAGAGCAGGACCCCAATGTGAGGCTCCACTCCAGGACTCCAAGATCACGACCTGAGTCAAAGGCAGACGCTTAATGACTGAGCCACCCAAGCAAAAATATCATTTTCAAAATAAATTTGTTGCATCTGAATTGACCGTCAAGATTCTTCCTCTTTTTTTTTTTCTTTTTAAGACTTTTCCTCTTAAATATTACTTTATTTGATTACAGTGGCCAGAACTGGCTCTGGAAATTGACCTCTTTTTAATGATAAAAAACCAGGGCTGGAAGAGTCTTTAGAAATCACCAAGTCCTGCTGTTTAAAAATTCATTTTGGCTTCATAATACTTCAAGTAAATCTGGAAACCTAGTATGTGAAGACACAAAAACAGTGATTGACCCTAGTCTAATATTCTCACTTTACAGATGGAGAAACTTAACCTAATTTGTACTGACTTTCCTTATTGTAATTACTACTGCACTTCCCCACTACTCTGCAAGTTTTGCGAGGGTTGGGGCCATATTTAGCTCAGCGCTGGATCTACAGCGCCTAGGCACAGCACTTCGGCCCTCCGAGTCAGACCCAAAGAAATGAAATCAACTCACTTGTCCAGCCTGTAGTTAGAAGAAAAGCCCCAGCCCAATCCAATCTATTACAAAAAAATTTTTGTTAAAACTAGTTGTCCACCCCTTCCCACTCCCTCACCCCGTCAGTCTCTCCAGTCTGGACTGGGATTCTCACACCCCATAGGGCACTGTGGCCTTGCTGATCCTCTCAGGGGTCCAGAGCTTCATGCATCCCAAGACACTTGACGGCTGTACTGCCTTCCCGATATTTTAGTAATAGTACGGCCAGTACTACCTCTGAACGACAAAGCCCGACTCTCCAGAGACCCAATAGACGCCTCGGAGCAGTGGCTAGGCGGGTGGGAAAGGTGGGAAGCACGTGGCCTCCGTTCTTAACCTCCTCCTGGTCACCCAGCAGGTTCTAGGTCCGCGCGACGAGAGACACACCTCGGAGGACCTAGGTGTCCGGACAGCCCCCCACCCGCCGGTCTCCCAACCCCGTCCCTCGTTTACCAGCGTCGGTGGGGGTGGCAGAGAAGGCCGTGACGGGTGTGGTGAGTCCAGCCGCCTCCCAGAGGAGCAGCCAGGCCACCGCCCGGACAACCACGGCCGTGACAGCCAGGACGCTGGAGAACGCGCTCCCCACAGCGCGCGGGTACGAATTGCGGACTGAGGAGCCCGAGCACGCCTTATGTCGCTCCTAGAGCGTGCTGCCACGGAGTCCGTGACCGGCACGGAAGACAACGACACGCGCCTGAGGTCCTGCGGTTCCCCCGGTCCCCGCAGCTCTGGTCCCCCCCGAAACTTCCGGCGTTGCTGGAGGCGGCAACCTCACCGCGGTCTTTGCTCCCTTGTCACCCCGCCCCTCGCCGTCGGGTCAGGGGGAGGGGCGAGGAGCGGCGCACGCGCCGTGACGTACGCCGGGGCTGTTGCTGTGGGAACAGCTCCCTTGGCCCGCATCCAGACCCGGGCTCTGGAGCAGTCTTGCAAGCGGTATCGCAAGGTGGACTGTCTCCACCTCCACTTCCAGGTACGTGCGGATTCGGCCCTCCTACGGGGGAATTCACCCCACAGTCACGTCTGCGAGGCTATAGCTGTAGCCTCTTCCTGCAGCGCCAGGCTCTGCCCGGCCTCAAAGCCGAGTTAAGTTCTCTGTGCACTGCGGTTGGGGGGAAACAAGCCCCTCACGGCGGTTTTAAGCTCTTCCCCGCCACAGAAGATGCACTTTCTCTATTTTTCTAAGGGTAAGAAAGTCAGCCTTGCCGTAGCGGGGACGTGAGTTTGGGAGAGGATCGTCTCTCTATTGGCAAAATCCGTACACTTTTAGGTGCTGTGGGGGATGTTTAGTAAAATTATGGCGGTCACTGATTCCTGGGAAGAAAAGTATTAATGCCTATGAGGAAGAGTTAGGTAAATGTGTGGTCTGTCTTCTTGAATTGAAGTGAATCTGTAAGTAGGCCTAGATGCAGACTGGAGCTAGGACAGGTGTTTGCAAGAGGAAGGATGTCAGAATGTACCATTGGAAAGTGAAAATAGCAGTATAAGCATGATATTAAGAAATATGGAGATAAATTCTGGAAGAAACACTTAAAAGAATTGAAGCTGGTTGACTATGAAGAGAGGAAGGGCAGGGAACAACAGTTTTTTTGTTAATCCTTAGAATTATTTTACATTTTTAACAGAATATAAACATATTAGTACAAATAAAAGTTAAATTTTATTTTTTTAAGATTATTTATTTATTTATTTATGAGAGAAAAAGAGAGAGGCACAGAGTCGGAGAAGCAGGCTCCCTACTGAGCAGGAAGCCCAATGCGGGACTCAATCCCAGGACCTGGGATCATGACCTGAGCCAAAGGCAGACGCTCAACCATCTGAGCCACCCACGCGCCCCAAAAGTTAAATTTTAAAAAGAAAAGACTCTGTAGTAAAAAAAAAAAAAACATTGTTATCAATTGCATACATCAGTCATGAGTACAGCCATTTGCTTGAGTGTGTGGAATTTATATTGTGCTCAGTAGGATCTTTTAGAAGGCTTACTAACAGACAATATTTTAAGGACATGAACTGGGAGTAGTATTTGAAGAAGGGGGTGGGTGGGATCCTTTGTGTCAGATCAGAGCACAGTAATTTGAAATGGCAGTTCTTTATGATTAATTTCTTAAGAGTAAAAATTCTGATGTTCAAAAATAAGTGAAAAGTATGATGATGTATATCTTATGATATAAGGTGATGGTATATCCATAAGACAAAACACTTGACAGTCATAGAAATGTGTGTTTTAGTAAAGCATTAAAGGACAGAATCACGTAAGTTATTACATTTACAAGGCAGGAAGTAGATGTATAATGTAAAAAAATACTATACTAAAAAAACTATATGTGTAGAAAAAAACAAATCAAAGGTAATCATTATATATATGTTTCTTCCTCCTCCTCCTCCCCCACCTTACCTCCAGTCTTCTCCAATGTACTGTGTTCCTATGGTGATGCTCTAGAAAAATCAAGTTTATGAAGGTGTCATCACTCTATACTCCTTTACCTTTAGGTTCCTTGACATTTGCAAATCTTCCTGAGAATATCAAAGTCCTACCCAGAGCAGTCGCTATAATTAAGCGTATTTTGGCACTGGGCACCAACAACAGGGAATAGAAAGTATTAACTGCAAAATAGCTGTGTTTCTTGTAACTGAGAAAACATAGAGAGACAAATAAGTTGAAATAAAAATGATGTAAACTTTATTGACTTGTATATGTGGAGGTTGAATCTGTACCAGGTCTGCATTTTTTATCAGACCTGTAGACTATAAACACTTAAAGGATATACAGAGGCTGTGTCTTATATTAGTAGATTAAATTAAATTTTTAAAATGATTGTATTTATTTATTTGAGAGAGAGCTTGTGTGTGCGCGAGTGAGTGAGGGGAGGAGCAGAGGGAAAGGGAGAAAAGCAGGCTCCCCGCTGAGTGCAGTGGGCAGTGTGGGTCTCTGAGATCACGACCTGAGTGGAAACCAAGAGTGGGCTCCCTCAACTGACTGAGCCCCCCAGGTGCCCTTAGTACATTAAATTAAACAAGTATGTATGGTATTTTGCTGGGATATTCTGGGGAACAGTGTATATGTTCCCTGCCCTCATGCAGCATATACAATAGAAGGGAAGATAAGTGATTCAATAAGTAATCATACAAACCTTCATGAGTAAAATGGGAAAGTCCAGAGGAGACAGACCCAGTCTGATGAACCTCTCAGGACTTAATGTTTAAGGTTAAAAAATCATAGTATCTTGCCATAGAGGGTGCTTGTACATACTTGTTTAATTGATAAATAAAAAGATCCTGTAAGTTGATTCTTGGCCTGACTTCAGGTTCATGTACAATCTTTGGTTAAGAATGCAGTACACTAAGAGGTCCAGACAACTGTCCTTCCAGGCTCATGTGTGAACTAACCTACATACCTCATTGAACCAGGGATCCAACAACTAAGGATAACCCCAGGGCTATACTGAACTTTCAGGGTAGCTCTCAAAGTATTGAAGTTGACAGGCTGAGCATGCATGTCTAGAACTGGACTAGAGCCAGATCTGCTGGGGAGAAGGGGTACTGGGGAGTGTGATTTATTCAACACTTATTTTTTTTCCCCTTTAGCAGGAAGTCATTATGTGACTAACATATTTTCATCAGATTTCCTCTGATTTGCCCTGAAGTGCAGGTGAGAATGATGTGCACTGCCAAGAAATGTGGAATTAGGTTCCAGCCTCCAGCTATTATTTTAATCTATGAGAATGAAATGAAGGGAAAACGTCGCCAACGCATCATGCCAGTCCGAAACTTTTCAAAGTTTTCAGGTACCTCATGTTTTATCTTGCTTCCTATCTTAAATATTCTGTAAATCACTTATTAAGAATGATTTCAGTCTTGTAATAGAGCACCATGGCATTCAGAGTTAGACAGCCCTAGGTTCAAATCATGACTATCAGGGTAGGTAGGTAAACCCCAGCTAAATTGTCAGAAAGCTTCAGTCTCCTGATCTGTAAATGGAAATTGATAATCCCACCCTTTCAGAATTATGATATGGGTTAAATGAGATTGCATTATTCAATAATACTGACTCCCTTCTCTCCCTCCAAATGTGTTTTTTATTTGTCTTGATATTTTCTTGTCTTGATATTTTCTTTTCAGTACTAATATCTGAAACTGTAATAAATCCTTTTCATCTTAGATGTTTTCTCCAGTTGCAAGTGTTTGACATCTCCTTAAAGTGATTTTTAAGTTAAGGAAATAAAAAATGCATCCCTCTTCCCACACTCAAAGCTCGATATAAAAGAATAATAGTTCTGCAAAATTATTCATTCTGAAGCAGTCACTTAGCTACTTGGCTCTCACAGCAGATAATGCTTTCAGTAGTTTGCGATGTGTCTGTTGTGTATGGTATATAATTTTGTTTTTCTCTCCTAGATTGCAACAGAGCTGCTGAACAATTAAAGAATAATCCGCGACACAAGAGTTACCTGGAACAAGTGTCCCTGAGGCAGCTAGAGAAGTTATTCAGTTTTTTACGAGGTTACTTGTTGGGGCAGAGTTTGGCAGAAACAATGGAACAAATTCAACGGGAAACAACAATTGATCCTGAGGAAGACCTGAACAAACTAGATGATAAGGAGCTTGCTAAGAGAAAGAGCATCATGGATGAACTTTTTGAGAAGAATCAGAAGAAGAAGGATGATCCAGATTTCGTTTATGACATTGAAGTTGAATTCCCACAGGATGAACAGTTGCAGTCTTGCGGCTGGGACACAGAGTCAGCTGATGAGTTCTGATACCAAAAACTCAAAGAATTAATTGAGCTAGCAGAAACTGCATGTTTATACAAAGGATGTATAAACATGGTTCTAGAAAATCTGTAAAGAACACTAAATGTACATGTTGGGTCAAGTTTGGATTGACCATGTCACTTTTCAAAACCAGGACACGTATCTACTGTGTAGATTCATGAGGAATATACAAAAACCAGAATATAGGAATCTGCCTTTAAGGAGCTCACAATCTAATTGGAAGATAACTCAGAATCTTGTGAAAAACTAATTAACAGAATTAGGCAACAAAAAGATTAGAGTCAGATGCTTGATAAAAGTTAAAGGGGGTCAGAGCCTAGATGATGTTAGGGTTAGAATAGTCAGGGAAGACTGAGTCCTTTAGTAGAGAGATGGGACTTTGTCTGGTCCTCAAAATGGTAGTGTTTGGATAGAAGTTTTTAAGATTGCAGATGAGAGAAGCTGGGAGAAAAAGGGGGCTTTGGGGAGGGTAGTGGTAAAGAGATAGGGACTAGAACATTTTATTTGAGGAACAGTAAGCAAATTATAGTTTGGTAAGATTGGAGGGTATTTATTGTTACCAGGGAATTACCCTGTGTGCATTATGTTTTTATATGTATTGGACTCTGGAGTAGGAGACCAGCCCTACAGAATGCCCTGCTGCTGCAAGGGGGTGTCATCTAATAGACAGTAGGGGAATTCTGCCACTCCAGGATCAGGAAACCTGTACTAAAGATATTCTGAAATCCTGAAGGTCTTCCCATAACTGATGTGGTTTGTTTGTAACATGGGAAATCTAGCCATAATGAATAAATAGGCATTGCCAGTTTAGGCCTATTCATGTGTTTGGATCTACAAAGAGAAGATCTTTGTTGAACCAGGTTATATGTGTACAGATACATCTTTCTTCTCATTAGAATATTGTTTAATTGGCAGATATTCCATGTTTTCTGCAAGGAGATTAATACTCATTAAATAAAGCTGTAAAAATTACTCTTTCCACCTATTCATCTCCACTGTCTTTACCAGTAAAAGCCCCATGAAAGGGGTCACTCTTATAGTGGTATCACAAGGGGCTTAAGATGGTCAGGCATCATATGTATATTTGCCAAAGGTAGCAAAAAAATTTCAGAATTAGAGATCTCCTATATCTACACAGTATTCCATGGTACAGATGTAGATGATATATTTTAAAAGTTGACCTTAAGTTGTTTTTCCTTTCACTATTACAAGCAACGCCACAGCAAATAACCTTGTACATTCTCTGTTCTGTGTACTTGTAAAACTATAAGTAATGCCTAGAAGGGAATTGCTGGGTATGTCTGTTCCAAATTTTAATAGATAATTGCTAACTTGTCCTTAAAAGAAGTTCATTCATTCATCCATCCATTCAGTATGTGTACTTAATGAACACATATTACATGCTGAGCTGTATTATTCTGGAGTCTGAGTACGTAGCAGTATACACAACAAAGTGCTTGCCTTTACAAGGTTTACAATCAAGTGGCAGAAGAGAGACATTAAACATAAATACAGAGAATAATGTCACATATGTGCTTGAAATTAAAAACATGGTAAAAAGACAATGATGGAGGGGTTGGGAGCCACTTTTTTTGACAGCGATCAGAGAATGCCTCACTGTAAAGGTGGGACATTTGAGTAAAGACCTGAAGGAGGTTAAGGAAGAAATGATGTGCATTTCATGAGTTGTAGAGAAAGGTAGGTGTGTGGGCCCCCAGAGCTGGAATGTGCTTGGCTTACCAAGGAAGAACAAGGACGCAGATATGGCTAATACAGACTGAGGAGGAGAATAATGATAGGAGATGAGGTTGGAATGTTCTTACCAATGCGTAGTACTTCCATGAAGGCTGTACCAACTTAAACTGTTGGCAGTACATGAAAGTACCCGTTTTCCCCACATGAGCATCAACAGATAGTGTTCTCAAACTTGTTGATCTTTGCCAATTTTATAATCTAAAAACGGCACCTCATGGTTTTAATTTCTATGTCTTTTATTATGAGTGAGATTGAGCATTTTCATACACTTAAGGATAATTTTTTATGACAACATGTCATTTGCTCATTCTTCTGTTGTGTTACTGGTCTTTTTCTTACTGATGAGTAAAAAGTTCTTTATTGGGGCACTCGGGTGGCGCCGTCAGTCAAGCGTCTGCATTCAGCGCTGGTCATAATCCCAAGGTCCTGAGATTGAGCTCCGCATTGGGCTCCCTGCTCAGTAGGGAGTCTCCTTCTCCCTCTCCCTCTGCCTGCCACTCCCCCTGCTTGTGCTCTCATTGTCAAATAAATAAATTCTTTAAAAAAAAAAGTTCTTTATTAAGGAAAATAGCCCTTGGTCTGTGATAGGAGATGCAGATACTTTACCTTTGTCATTTGTGTTTTGACTTTGTTTATGATTTTGTTTCCAGGCAGATTTTTTTTAAGTCAAATTGATCAATATTTTTCTCTGTGTTTCTGCATTTTTGTCATACTGAGAGAGGCATTCCTCACTCCCAAGTTTTTTTTTTTTTAATTCCATGGTATTTTCTACATAGAAGTTTATTTTGGTATAAGATAAAAGATGTGAATCCCAACATTACTTCCAGATGCCCAACCAGCTGTCCGGCACTACTATATACCGAATTACCTATCTTTCCCCCATTGAGTTCAAGTGCATGCTTTATTATATACAAGTTCCCATATGTGTCAGAATAGTTATCTTTTGATTATATTAATGTCATCTATAGCACATTCCCAATCTATGTTTTTTGATGTTTATTGAGCACATCCTGTGAAGAGCTACAGTAAGATACAAAATGGGCCATAACTTTTGCCTTTGAGATATTAACATAGTTTACCAAAACAAGAAAACTAGCATATATGAGCTAGAGGTACTGACTGTCTAAAGCAGGAGGGGGAGATCATGTGAGCTGAGCAGTTGTGGATTTTTTTTTTCTTATGTACCTTATCCAAAGCAAATTCTGCTGACCCCTTTCACATTTTTTTTTCCATTATAAAATGAATATATACTCAATACCATTATCTTTTTTTTTAAGATTTTATTTATTTATTTGACAGAGATCACAAGTAGGCAGAGAGGCAGGCAGAGAGAGAGGGAGAAGCAGGCTCCCCGTGGAGCAGACTGCCCGCCATAGGGCTCTATCCCAGGACCCTAGGATCATGACCTAAGCCGAAGGAAGAGACTTTAACCCACTGAGCCACCCAGGCACCCCTCGATACCATTATCTTAAAAATTTAGATAGAGTGTAAAAGTAAAATCGGAAAATTCTCAACTTTACTCAATTCCAACTCTGCAGAGAATTTGGCTTCCCTAGAGGGCTCTGGATCCCATCTTCTGTTGTGGCCTTGCCTCACCAGTATTCTTTCTCTCTGCCTCTGTCTTTCTCATTTTCAGCTTCATTCCCTTCTGGCTCATTCTCTACAGTCTGTAAACATGCATAAGTTCTTGCCATATTAAAACAAGAAAACATCACTTTGCCTTTCTTTATCTCATATCGAATCTAACCAAATTATCGCTCATCTAGTTATTAGATAAATCTAACCCTTCCCTGACTACTGCACCCTTTAGAGCAGATCTGTCTGTAGTCTGATTCTAGATTAGATTAGACTAGACATGCTCAGCCTATGAAACTCAATACTTTGAGAGCTGCCCTTAAAGTTCAGTTTGGCTCTGGCTTCTTCTCACTCTGTTGGATCCCTAAGAACCTCTGGTTCATTGAGAGGTGTAGGTTTGTTCACATGTAAGCCTGTAAATACAATTCAGTTTGGATCTCTTAGTGTACTTAATGTACTGTAGTCTTCACCAAAGATTGTATATAAATCCCTGGGTCAGCATAAGAATTGAGCTAAAGGGTCTTTTCTATTTACCAATTCAGCAAGTATGTAATCAAGCACCAGGCACATCAAGGTACTGAGTGGTCACCTTAAAACATTATGTCCTGAGAGGTTCACCAGATCTGCTCCCTTGCACTTTTGCAATTATTTTACTCAGGTTTTTTGGTAATTATTTCATCATGTACCTAGTATTTTGACAAAAGTAGTAGATGAAAATTGAGGAAAGGTCACTGGATTTGACAACTAGGTCTCTGTTAATATTCAAGAATGAAGATTGGGGGCACCTGGGTGGCTCAGTGGATTAAGGCCTCTGCCTTCGGCTCTGGTCATGATCCCGGGGTCCTGGGATCGAGCCTCGCACTGGGCTCTCTGCTCAGCAGGAAGCCTGCTTCTCCTGCTTCTCCCTCTCCCACTCCTCCTTGCTGTGTCTCTGTCAAATAAATAAAATCTTTAAAAATAAAAAATAATTTTTAAAAAAGAATGAAGATTGAAGGGGGTGATTGGATAGAAATTGCAGGATAGGGACACCTGGGTGGCTCATTCAGTTAAGTGTTTGCTCTGACAAATAAATAAAATCTCAAAAAAAAAAAAAGAAAAAAGAAAAAGAAACTGCAGGATATTATGAAGGAAACATAGGATCATAGACCTAGATGAGAAAGCTAAAACGGGGGGTGGGGGGGTGGAGAAGCTGAAACTATATAACTTTTAGAAGAAAATAAAGAGAGAATCTTTATGACCTCTGTGTCTCACTTCAGGCTATTTTAACACCATAAACCGGGTGGCTGCTAAACAACAGAAATTTATTCCTCATACTTCTGGTGATTGGAAGTCTGAGAGCAGGGTACCAGCCTTGTCTGTTTCTGGTAAGAAGATCTTCCATGTTGCAAGCTATGCACTTGCAGAGGACAGCAAGCCAGCTCCTTCATGTCCCACTTTAAGGGCACTAATCCCATTCATGAGAGCTCCACCCTTATGACTCCATCAATTCTAATGACCTCCCAAAGGCCTACCTTATAATACCATCACTTTTGGGGGTTAGGACTTCAACATATGAATTTTGAGAGGACTAGTAAATATTCAGGGCATAACACTAATTAGGTAGAGATCTTTGATTTGATACAAAAAATCTGATTTGTAAAAGGAAAAAATATATG